TTGGTTGGAAGTCCATTAAGTAGCTCAAACACTCCACTTTAAAAGAGACAGGACTTTTCAAAGTTTGGATGCAGAATGGGAACTGATATTAGCTGTCCTCCAGATCTGCCTTGTGAAGTAAACTATATCCATGCTGAAGAAGAAATTACCGCTTTATTACATGGAAAATATGATCTTTATATTGGAAAAGTATAGTGGGAAAGATTTGTTAGGACAGAAGGAATGAGGAAAGATTACTACTATTTCTAAAAGTACCTGTAAGAAGTAGGAGGATGTTGGGGGAGAACGTACTGTCTACTCCTAGACTCATTTCTGCAGAGTCAGTGATCGAGAATGTCATCTCAGGTAGGTCCAGATATGGTTTCTGCTCATGTTTTATGTCCTCAGCTGGACAGCAGATGTAGAGCCTGTCATTCCATGGACATCCAGACTGGCCAAGCACTTTCCCACTGCAAACCAGTGACTGACTGGGGAAGGCTGCTGAGTTGTTTCAGCTGTAAACATGCCACACCTGTGCTTGTTTTAATGGTAATTGTAAATACTTGCTCTCTATTTAGGTGCTGTTTTCCTTTGCAGCCAAATGACTGCTTTTTCAGTCTGGTCTGTAAAAGCTTTCTTACTTGGTAGGAAGTTTAGAGGGTTGGGGTTTTTTTGGTTTTTTTTTTAATTGAATTCTCAAACATGAGTGATGTTGGAGGAACTTGATAATGTATGTTTTTCCTTGTTGAATAGCTTACTAGGAACAGACTCAATTTTGGTTCAGTTTTGAAGCATGACAGAAATTAGGGTATGTTTGATTTTACTGACCAAAGTTAACATTTCCATTTTGTGTAAACACCTCTATAGAGGGGTTTAACCCACAGTTTCTATATGAGATCTTGTAATTTTTCCTAGTGAGCAATTGTGCTTAGTTATTTTTCACTAAGAAAGAGCAGTTGCAGTCAGTAACGGGAAAAAAAAAAAACAAAGAACACTCCAGCCCTGTTAAGGCTTTGAGGAAAACTTTGCAGTTTGCCCTTGTGTATGGAAGGAAGCCTTCAAAAGAAAAAGGTACTGGTCACTTGGATGGTTTTCTGAACTTGCACTGAAAATTCAGATCTAATATATCTTAAGTTGGGTTTCTTATGTGTGTCAGTGGCCCTTCCCCCAGAGGGTAAATATAAGCACGTTGGAGCAGAGCCTAAATGTGGAGGTCAGTAGAATACCTTTTAGTCCTTCTAGAATTAATGGCATGCTGAAGGAGAACATCCTGGAGGACAGACTTTATCAATCTCCTGTACCATCCAGTGGCCTGCCAGACTTCAGAGTTGAACAGGGTTCCCATATTTGTATGTCAATACACTTTAGCAAATACTTAAATTGCTTTGGTGGGGCATTTCGCCTAGTTTATGGTATCAGACTTTCTTTTCTTTGGAAGTATGTAATCTTCATCTTGTGGTGAGCCTCGCTTGAGATTTTTGAGTGAATATTAAGCGAAGGAGAATATTGAAGAAATCAATATTTTCTTTAACCCATCTGTTAGATGGGTTAAATCTTTCTGTGAAATTATGTGGGTTTTGGTTGTGTTTTGTTCCAAATGAGGGAAAGAGGAAGGAAGAGAAGGGAGGTCAGTGGCAGACTGCAGGAGCCAGGCTGTGCCTTCACACATGATCCTGGCCGATGGCATGCACAGGGTTGGAGGACTTGGGAAATAAAAGGCTAAGTGCACTTTGATGTGTTGGTGCTGCCTTTTCCTATATATTCTTGGGAAACTATTCTTAATCCTTTATTACAGGTCAGTGATACAAGAGTGTGTTAATACGAGTCTCTGTTTTGTTTTGGAGAATGCCCTTATGGCAGATGCCATAAGGACAGCTTAGCAGGGGAAAATGTTTAGTTGTTGCTTTTTCTCCTGGGGGCAAAACTACATTCCCACCCTGGGCAAGTTAGCCCAACGGCTTTTTATTGCGGCACGTCTGCCTCTATACTGGGGTAGTCGTTAAAAAGTACTGAGGGGTTTTTGGGTTGTTTTTTATGTTAACTTCTTGACACGGTAATGTTGGCAGAATGGCACCCTGCTGCCCAAGCCTGCCATCATGGTCTCAAAGTCAGGATTGATTTTGGTGCCTGTAGCATAACCTCGGGTAGAGATCTGAGGCTCAAGTGCTTGATGAGCGCTAGCTGCCAATAACTCCAGCTGGAATTCCAAAGCGAAGTATTTCTGAAAGTTGTCATCAAAGTTAACACCCCAAACCATTTGGCCCTCTTTCTCTTACAAACCTTCAAAAGGCTTTAGAAAACTCGTTTTGATGAACTTTCCAGCATCTGGAGAAAACTTTTCTGTAGTTCTTGAAATGATGTTGGACTGCGAAAGTGGTGCTGCTGGCAAAGCCTTGCATAGTTTTGATGTTGTGCGCTGCATGCGTCTATTATCCTCCTTCCCGACCTTGCTAACAGAAATGCAGGGTTTCTCTGGAAAGATTCTCATGCTTCCTCTTTGCATTCAGCCAAACTGGCCCTGGTTTTGGGGACTGGAGATAAGAGAAGTTTATTCCTTGTTTTGAAAAAGTATTGATGTTTATAGCATTATCGGAAATGGATTATTTGGTCCTATTTTAGTTGCTGTTGTTTAGCGTGCCATTGAAATGTTTACTCAGATGAAGTTAAATATATGTGTTAAGAGAATGGGATTGTTTTTCTTATGGAGTTGTTTATCTTGAGGAAAAGTCAAATCCCTTTGTTTAATGTACCCGTCTGGTTTACAGAAGCAGTGGAGATCATTTCTATTTGACCATTTTAGTGGGTCAAAAACCAACTGTGTATCTTGGTTAGGGTATATTTTTATTTGCTTCAGAAAGGAGCCAAGTTGGCAGAATGCCGGAGTTCACGTCAGGACGAGGAGCAGACGCTGATTCTGTAGGTTAGGCTTCTTGCTTTGTTGGTCGTCCTCTCGGATCTCTTCCCCTTATTAAATATAGACTGTGGTTTTGGGTTTAGGGTTTATCTCCTCATTACAGTTCTCTGGTGATGGGTGCGATGGATAGGTTGGTTTGGTGTGTGCAATTATGTTCCCTAGAAGAAAAGGAGAGCGTCGTTTACAGCAGGGCTTTGAAGGGTGGCATTTCCTGCTGCTTTTCAGACTGTCTACCAGGAGGAGCGTCCGATGAAGCAAGCTCTTTGTTGTTGAAAATCCCAGAATCAGATTCTGCTGTGTGATACTTGATAAGCTATTTTCAGGAATAAACAAACGCAGCCGATCCATGCTAGAAAATATAATTCACACAACAGCCCCTTTTTTCCCCCCTCGCAATGACATTTCTAACACTTCGCGCGCTAAATCTGAGAAGTTTTAACAGATGGCGGATGGGATTTTGCCATAAAGTTGCACAGTGCTTGCAGCAAAAGGGCGATTCTCTGGTTTGTGTTAGTTTTGCGAGTCTCTATTCCTAATTTCTATTTCTTTTGCGCCGTTTCTGCCATCATTTTGCTTTGGCAATTCGGTACCTTAAATGGCTACAGCCCTGGTGCAGTAGTAAACTCCCTGGAGTTTTGTACAGAAGCCCATGAATAAACATAATTGCAATGTAATGAAATACTTGTGTTTAAACGCTTACTGTATATTTACACCTTTGTCAGTAGGATGCCTTTGTACCGTGCCATTAAGGTGGAGGTGCCATCAGTAGCTGGTGGAGGACAGAGGGTGGTACCCAAATCTGTGTATTTTCTTGTGAGCGTCCTGTGGTCCTTTGTTGGTGGCTTGTTCCTTAGCAGTCCTTACTGGGATGCTTGAGCGCGAAGGGAAAACGTTGAGTCGTGGGATCCTTTTTCTTTGGGTAAGGATTCAGCATTTACTGCGTTCCAGGTGCTTCTGGAGTCAGGCAGATGCAAGCTGTAATCCTGAATTTTGATTTCTTGAACTTGCGCGCTGCTGACAGAAACACTCCTTTATATTGCTTGCAGATATTTGACCTGAAAAGTGCGCAGTCCCTTTATGCAGTCAGAGAGACCACAAAAGCTTTGCTGTTTTCATGGGATTTTTGTTTTTTTTCCGCTGGAAAGCCACAGAGCTTTTGGTGCGCAGCATCAGCTGCGGCCATCCCGGAGCACAGGGATGCGCCTCCTGATCGGCGTGTGGATGGGAGTCGTCTCTCCTTAGGAAAGAAGAGTTGGGTGAGCGTTCATCGGTGGCTAAATTGAAGGGACAAGAAGGGCTCGAGGCAGCAAAGGTCCGGACGCCTGCAGCGTGGGACCGTGGGTGACACGGCTGTGGGGATGTCCCAAGGCGTTCCTGCGGGAAGCGGAGGAGAGGAGCTGGCGTCGGGCTCTGAGCAGGAGTGGAGGCTTTCGCAGGACTGCTGCTCAAAGGGCTCTCTCCTCGCTGGACCGGGCACTGCTTTAAAATGCATAAATTAAGCTTTCTTTTGGCTTTGCAATTCCTGTCGGAGTCGGAGAATAATCTTCTGTTGCTGTCCTGAGGCCAGCTGGAGTTTTCCTAGCTGTAGGTTTGGAGTGTATTTTTTTCTGGTTGGGTCTCTGGTATTGTAAAGGCCAACATTTTGGAAAGTCTGGCTTTTCAGGATGGTCTTTTTAGATTATTTTTTTTTGGTGGTATTGAGCAATGGCGTGCTTCTGGATGGTTTCACGTAGGCTTATTGGAGAAATCTGGGGTTATTCTTGAGAAAGCTGCAGTAATTTATGTCCTAAAAAATAAGACTTTGGCATTTGTTAGTACTGCTCTGTCGGTGGCAATATTATTGTAGTAAAAATTGTCATTTTTACTTTTATTGACACTGAAATGCCTACTTTAATTTTGTTGTCATGTGATCATCTTCTCCCCTAATTTTGTTCCAGATGCTGTACCAGAGTAACTAGTAGTCAGTGAGTTGTTCTTTCTTTCGAGAAGAACAGCCATGGTACTACCACTTGCTCTGGAGGAAACAATTGGATTTTTATCAGATCTTTGTAATTGTTAGAAGAGGGAGAAATTTCAAGAGATCTCTGTCAGATGGCGAGAGCTTTACCTGAGAGTGCCGGAGGTAGCCTGTGCTTGGGACCATTGGGAAATCTGCTTTTTACATCTTTACCTGTGGAAGGGTCTGAGAACACCTGGAAGCTAGGATGCTCCTTGTACGTGCCTTAAAAAAGAAAAGGCTTTGTCAGTAAGCTCAAAGCTATGGCCGTATGAGCTGCTGCTTCTTTTGTGGGTGTGTATATTTATTTAGCTTGCTGATATTTTATTGTACTCCAGCTGCAATGCTGTGTGCTCTTGCTTCTTTCCCTATTACCAACGAAGAGGAGAGGGGTGGGGGAAAACAATACCTTGTACTCCTTGCCGCTGCGGATCTAAATATGACATTTGTGCCTTCTTTTTATAGTAATCTGTTGTTCCTTGCTAATGCTGATGTTTCCTAATGTTCTTGTATATTGCATGTGCTTTTTTCCATTTCTTAAATTTAAGTAAATTATTTGGTGCACCTGGGAGACTGTCTGCATAGGAGGAAACATATGACAATGAGTTGCTTTAGGATTATTTCAAAGCAAAAAAATTGCAATTGGTTTGTCCGTCTGCTCCCTCTTTCTGACTTTTGCAGTTGGAATTAACTGGAACAGTAAAAAAAAAAAAAAATAAAAAAAATTGCCTTTTGTTTGTTTGTTTATTTTTCAATGACCTGGGAAGCTTGTTGACAGCTCAAAAGCCACGCTGAGCAAAAATAACAAAAACATCTGAATAGCTGAAAGCTTAAAGTCCCTGCTGGAAAGGCGGTTTGTTGAGGAGCAAAAATAAGTTCAGAAGTGGTAACCATTAGTGGCTATAAATAAAGAGTTACTCATTTAGGCTCTCAGGCAGATAAAAGAGAGAAGTTGTTCCAGTTTTTCATCTTTACCGTGTGGTAAAAAGTAAGGTATGTCATGCCCTGCCGTTTTTTAGATAGCTTTAAAAATAGCTGCACTTGTGCTGTTTTCTGCTCAAAGAAAGGTCTTCAAGTATAGTTGCATAAAAGGCAAAAGCTGTTTGGTCCCAGTCTGAAACAAATACATGATTAATAAGTTGTGTTCCCTGCAGGGCAGTGTCGCTATTATGTCAGTACGCTTACAGTTTTGATAAAACACTGAATTTTATTCTAAAACGATATCTGAGATAGTGTGAGCAATATGGAAGCAGGGTAGGGAGTAGCTAATGTGTACCTAGTGGGTCAGTAGGTCTCGTCTTTTGGAAAATAAAACGTGGTCTGCAACTTCATGACGGAGCAGGCTGGTTTTCTTCCTTGAGGACAGCTGCTGTGGCGATGAGGAGGATGCCACAGACCGGGGTGAAGTAGGGATGCGCTGAGGGACCCTGGAAGAGCCCTCCAGACCCTTTCCCCAGGTTTGAGAACGGCTTCAGTGGGGAGGCAGGTTTTCCTGGTCTCCAGGTGTTGGGGTTAACTTTTTCCAGAGGGGCACCTTGTGCAGTCTGGGTCATTGGGTTTCTTCAGTTGTACTGCGTAGGGTGCTGATACCACAAATTACGTTTTTAGTTGAAAGTCTTTGTTTAAAGAAGCAGCTGCCTTTTATGCTTGGCTGTGTTTCAGCCTAATTAAGTGAGGAACCTGGGGGCCTGCACGAATAGCTAAATAATAATTAACCTCTGCTTGACTTCACTGGTGTAGAACTAGGACGTTCATCCTCACACCTAGATTTCTTCTGCCTTGGTGTTGACTGACCAAGCACTGACACTTGTCGTGTCCTCTTTCCCCTTTAACACCAAGTGCGTTTGTGGACACGTTACGCTTCTCAGGCTTCTTTTGGAAAGTAATAATAAAGATGCAATGCTCTCGGGCTTATCCTGAGTCAGAAGAAGTTTGGTTTTGAGTGTCCTACTTGCCGTGGCTCCGTACAAGTGTGTTTTGCAGAGCAGCTCTCCAGCGGCGGAGAGGGCTGTTACAAAGGTCTCCTAGAGCTGCGGGGAGTAGAGGTGAGCAGACCGTTCCTGGTCGTGAGCTTTGCTTCTCTTATCAGTAGACGTTGGCGCTTTCCAAACAAGTGGCTGCGATAGCGGCTTCTGGCTGGGTGGGAGGGGGAACTTGTTGGTGAAGGAAGGGCGTGCGGCTGGGTAGGTTTAAAGGCGCAGGAGAGTTTTAGGGTTTTGGTGATCTATAGCTAAGCAATGTGATCATGGCTAAAGATAACAAACCCAAAATAAGCAGTGGGAGAAAGCGTTGAGGCTTGGGTTTCTACAGTGTGACGCCTTGACTTGCATAGTACCGGGATGTGTAATTTTTTCCATGGAGATTTATCTCCTGAAGTTGTTCTGCTTAAAATAAGTAAAGAGATCTTGATTCAGCGAGGTTGGTAATCCCAGGGTGAATGTGGGACGCACCGTTCCACCTGAATTAGAGAAGAGTTGTAATGTATTTAAAATTAAGCATGTTGTGTAATATCTTGTGGTTTTGGCTTCTGGCTGGGCACAAGTCACTTGGCTTCCTAAACATCACAGTCCAAGCTTGCCACGGGAGGGTTAATGAACATCTGGGGAAAGATGTTCCTGACTGGGGGGGCGCATGTGACAACTGGATGATCTTTAATGGTCCCTTCCAACCCAATCCAGTCTATGAGTCTGTGAACACCATCCCTGCTGGGACTCGGGAAACCCCCAAAACTCTACTTAACAGTAACTGGTCAAAATGACTAAAACCCAGTGGGTAAGCACTGCTGATCTTGGTACAAATTACTTTTAAGTAGCAGTGACCGTGGTTCAAGCATGCTCTCACGCTTGCTGCTGAGCGCACACGGAATCGCCCTTCTCCGTCGCCGCTGAGACTCCCGGGCGGGCGGCAGCGGGTGTCGCAGCCCCCTGTAAAGGCGTCCTCGTCCTGCCTCGTCCCCCTTTTCCCCAGGAGCGCTGGTGCTGCTGTGTCCGTACCCTGCGGGACGAGGGCAGGGAGTCTCTGCCACAATCGGGTCTCTGTGCTCTCCGCACAGATGCCGCTTTGTTAACGAATAACTTGTCTAACTTACCACTGTTTTTTAACCCGCCTCGCGATCAATGTTACGTTGATTTGTGCATTGACTGTAGAGCTCTTTTATTGCAGCCATGTTCCTGGAAAGCTCAAAATGAGGATTTTTTTATTTGTACTTAATTTTTTTTTTTTTTTAAATGAAGCCATCTCCTTACCAATGCAGTGCATGGCATATGTTGAGGGAAGAACATTTACCGCTGGTGACTTTTGTAGTGGAGATGTTCAGAACTGACTCTGAAGTTCTGTAGGAGATTTTTTTGCTTTTTAGGAAGCTGTCCTTAAGAGACAACTGGCTTTGGAAGAGTACAAATGTTGCTACCATATCGGCCCACAGAAGTCTGAGTCTCAATGATGCTTCCTTTAATTTAGCGGAAAGGAAGCGGAGCAGTGTGTGAAGTGAGGAGCAAAGGAGAGCGTGTCTTGTAGTGCCTAACTCTGCTGAAGAAATTGAGTTGCATTAGGACTGGGTAAGGGTAATTACATGCCAGCCTGTGTCCTTTAGGCACCAGATGGTAGCATGAGAGCTCCTTTTAGGAGAAAAAAAGTCTCAAGTTGGAGGCATTGTGTAGAAAATAGACTTATTGGGCATCGCTCTCTTCTTGAAACGAGCAAGACACTGCCGCGTCTGACATTATACGTTATGGTGTAAAGTAAAGTAGTGGCTGAGTTTTACAGGTCAAGTGATGTTCCAGACCTGTGGCACAGCACTGTCTGCGTTACTCACCCACTGCTTCGGGAGCAGCGGCTGTGGAGGTGTGCGCGCTCGCGGCGATCCACGACCAGCCCATGCTCGCTCTTGAATATTCGAGAATCGACTTGCTGGGAAAAATTTCTGCTGGAAGCTTCTTTTCGCAGCAGAAGGACCATTGAATGTAATCACATCTTTTCTTTCTGTAAATGTGTCCATAAGTTATTTTTAGGTGAAAAATAAATGGATACGATTTTATCCAAGGGAGAGACTTGTACAGTATATTGGGGTAAAAAAAACCAACCCAAACAGACTTCTTGCAAGTTGGCTGAAGTTGTGTATACCCCTGGAAGTTGGATTTGTTTGAGATGGGTCTTAATGTGATCTGGAGGAATTAAAATGAAGCACGTGTCTCTGCATACTTCTAGCTATGGGCCTAGATTTTGTAGTTGTCCCATACAAATGGGATCTTGCTTATGTGAATGCGAGGTGGGGATTTAGCTCCTAGGAGAAGAAAACATCGTGAAAGCATGTGTATATCTGAAAATACACACAGAAGTTCTGACGGTCATGTTTGTGCATAAACAAACATGCTCGTGGCTATCTGAAGATGAAGGGGAACTGAAAACGTGAGCAAAACAATTTTGTATAGGCGCTCTCTTCAAAAGATCTCGGTTCAGTGATAAACACGCTGCCAGAGTTCAGCTGTGCTTGTCGTACGCGTGAGCAGCTAGAATTATGATGAAGTTATAGGCACTTCTTCAAAACAAAGACAAGTTGATACTTGAAACAACAGGGAAATTGTAGGAAGACTGGCCCATGAGCAAGAGGGAAGGTGATGTCATGTGAACGCTGTCGTGGGATTTGGATGATTTAAACTGCATCGATGCATCTGCCAAAGGCTTGCAGCCCTCAACAAGTCATTCACTCTGCTTTTGCCTCGGTTCTCTATTTGCAAAATACTGCAGGATTTTTCATTTCCAACATCTTTTTCCCTTTTTCTGGGTAGAGAGGTGTAGTGCCCTCACTGGGTCCTTGTGCCAATGCAAATAAAACCAGATCTACTGCCCGTGCTAAGCAAGGAGCCAAGTTCTGGGTGACTTCCTTGGTGAAGGAGCCGGCACATGGTCCTTGTGGTTTGTAATATTTTCCGCTGCACACACAAAAGTGGTGTGGAGCTCCAAGGACTCAAAATTCATTTCCTTACAGGTGAGGAAATCTCTGTTCCTCCCTGCAGAATGAAGTATTTTATATGCTGCATGAGGGGTTAAAGGTAGTATGTGCAGTAAGCAGAAAGTTATTGTTCCATTTTGAGTTTCTTTATGCCTTCTTTGAAAAGGAAATTGGTTCTATTTAAGGCCAAGTCTTTTTGACCAGCCAAGTCAAAGCTTGGAGGAAGCTAATACGGAGCTGGCAGTGGAGGAATGCATTGCTAAATGTATTGCTACTGCAACATTTATTTGCGGTGAAGAGTAAGTGGCTTTTCGTGATTCCTACTGTCCTAGAGTTAAGGAGCGCTGCAGGGGCACGAGCTTCAGTAGAACTGTTGTGTGGGGTTGGGTTTCCTGATAATAATGAGCAAGATGCTGCTCAGATGTTCTGCTGCTCTGGGATTAATGGTAACAGGCTGTTTTTTTGATTTTTGAAGAGTAAAAATACCATTTTAGCTAAAGCAGTCTGAGTAATTAGTAACATGCTTAAAAACATTCACTTTTTTTGAAATGACACTTCTGAGAGTAATTCAGTAGGGATAGGTACCCCTCCAGGTGACCAAGTTTGAGCATTTTTCCCAAAGGAGGCTGGGGCTGAAGAAGCACACGTTCATTCTTGGGTGTGCGTCATGTTCACATCAGCTGAAATCAAGTACGTGTTCTTTCTGAATAAGGAGGCTTTCCTGAATCCTCTTCTGTTCTACAGTAATTTGCCAATAATGCTTCTCTTTGCACAATTCCATGCTTCAGCATTTGTGGAAAAGTTGTTTTTTCGATGGTGTTTAGGTAATTTCATTTTACCTAAGAGTTACTAAAAAAGAAAAAACAAAACCACCACCCAAACCCAACAAATAGCTGTTTTGTTGACTCACAGTGTAGTAATATGAGGAGTGACTTTATTACTGGTATGAAAAGTAGTAAAAGCTACTGGCTGTGTTTAGGCAGAGGAAGACATTTATATTTGTTTTAGACTTGCGTTCTTTAGTGCCATAAAAATCTGATTATGGGTAAGTAAGATTAAATATGTTTTAATAGCACTATGTCAGGCAGTCATGGAAAATTCCCAGTCTCAGCTTGTACATGCATTTGAATACTATGAAGTCCATATACTTTGTGTGTGTTTGTTTTTTTTCTCTTTTCTGTTTTTAGGGTTCTTTTTTTATTATTTAAGAAAAAGCACCTCTCTGGGCAGGGAAGAATCAGTAATGCTGCATTTTGAGTGCTGCTACACTTGCATTTTAATTTAGGCACCCTACTAATTTGACTTGAACTTACTGTGCAGTCACCTTCTTTATAAATAATTTAAAGAACATCCTTGTGGTGGAAAGCCTATAAAGTCCTCGCAGGTTTCACAGACTGGGGAACTGCAGGGTGCTGTGGGAAGTAGATGTTTATGGAATTGTCTGGGCTGACGTTTACAAAGGAGTTGGTTGTCTTAATTCATTGCCAAGTAAAATAAATCGCTGTGTAAAGGTTCGTGCTCCTGAGTAGACGTCCTTTCAGAGGTAGCTAAGAGAAAAGTCATGGTTCCCGAGGCTTTAGGGTCAGCAAGGGTTGCCTGTGAAAGCTTGCTGTCCAGTGTGTTGACTCGTAGCTTCCAGCACACCTCTTGGGTGGCAGCGTGAGGGGGGGAGCTGGGAAATGCAGAGCAGGGATGTGTAAACCTGCTGGAGCAGTTTCCTTACAGGAGAAAAGCATGCTTTTGTCAGGCTTAAAGTCACTGCTTGCATGCTCTTGCTGGCGGCACGATCCTCTGCCCGCTGGGACATCCCGAGCGCTCCACGAAGATGCTCGTGCTTCACGTGCAAATATGTTTCGCACCCCTTAGGTCTCAGCCATTACTTTCACCAGCCTTACAGTCTGCTGGGTTTCGGTCTTGAATATCTCTGTCTCAAGGCAGCTGCGTTCTTGCCGGGTCTTTCTCTGGTTTGGCATCGGTTTTTCTAATCTGGGGGAGCACGGCTCTCCACGGCCGGCACTGGTGGGAGCTGCTGGCTGGGGGAGATGCGGCTGCTAGTCACAGCTGGCAAGTCTTTGTGCGAAGGAAACAGGATCTCTTCCCTGGATTTAGACCAAAAAAAGTTGAGTTTAGCGTCTCGGCCCAAGTAGGTCACGTCAGTAGTAAAGGGTATGGTCTGATTTCAGACCTGATCTGGAGAATTGGGGAAAAAGAATCTCCTTCTCTGCTGCAGCAGTGCTCCGCTTCTTGCTGGAGCTAATCCTCTTGGCTAATGGGAAGAGCTTGGGTGCAAGGGGTTCCCACCTAAATATATGAGCGGTGTACCACTGGGAGATTACAATGTATAGTCAGAATCGCTTGGCTGAGAAGGTCCTTTGCCTGCTGAGAGGCATGCAGCTGTTCAACCCTGGTTTTATTATGCTTTTGCACACTGGACGTGGTAAACTAGAAGAGAGTCTCAGCCCAGATGCATTTCCTTGTGCTCCTCCTTTATCTCTGGGATAAATGACCGTTTTGTTGGGTGTTGTTGCTTTAAATCACTTCTGTTTGGTTAAGCTCTTCGACTTGCTTTGTGGTTTAGTTTGGGTTAAATTTTTTATCAATCTGCAGTACAGTAAAACACGCATGCAAATAAAAAAAAATTACAGAAGCAACTGCTCTGTGTTTCTGCTTTTTCTGCTTCTGCCACAACTACTAGGTTGAGGTAGTCGTTTTTCCTTTTAACAATTACCAGCTCATATAAACATGCACTGAAGAAAAAAAAAAAAAACCCCACCAAAAAAACCCAGCAGAAACCAAACCAGCGCCAGAGTGATGCAGGAAATATTCATCCTTGTCATGAAAACAAGGACGCAGAATGGGAATGCGTCAAATCTCTAGGTGTGCCTGCAAGTGAGGAAACGTGCCACACCTTTTCGTTGAAAGGTGGAGTGCAGATTTTAAGCTGCTTTGGGAAGATGCTACAACAACACGCCTTTCCTCATGGCTTGTACATCCAAGGAACCTGTGAGCTTGCTTTGTGTGACCTGCCCTGGGGATTTGTCTATAGGTGTGAGATGGGAAGCAGTATGGAATTACAGGGCTCGGTCCAGTGTATAGTGTGAAAGTATCTATGGCAGGAGAAGAGAAGGTTTGCTGATATAAATACCTGCTCCGTTTCTGGGTTTTCTACTAAAGGTGTTCCCTTTTGGCAGTTTAGTGCCGAATGAACTTAAAAGGAGTTAATTTTTATTATATGTCCTGAAAAAATCCCAGTAAAAGAAAAAATGACTTGCGATTATGACTCAGGTGACTCACCCTGTAGATGCTTCATTTTATAGTTGCACAAGAGCAGAAAAATCAAAACAGGTATGCTAATAAGAGTAGCATTACTGGAAGGAAATGTATCTGGCCAGGGAGAAGGGGGCTAAGCAAAAGCTGGAGATTGCATTTCAGAGGGTTGTGACCTTGAGGGGCTGAATATAATGAATGCAGTGTTTCAGGCTGCCTTTTTACCTTGCAACTGCTGCATACCATCGGTATTCATCAGCAGTGATGGCGCTCTGCAGCGGGAAGCCGTGCAAAGCATCAGCCTCGTCTCCAAGAGTAGTTTAAAGTCGATAAAAGTTGTAAAACTGTTCAAAGTGCATGCAGGGAATGCTGCCTTTTACCTGAACCTTGTGGCTTTCTAACTTTACCTAAAATATGAGCTTCCTTGCTAAATTTGCCTTTGGTATAGATCCCAAATTCTCTTTTCTACTAAGTTGCACCTTCTGTATGTGTTACAGTGGTGTAAAATGCCACCTGTGCAGCCTGCTTTGGTGTCCCGTAGGCTCTGGGAAAGCGGAGATTAGCCCTGATGGACAGTCTTCTGCTCCCACCATCCAACAGCTGAGTGAGACTAGGCTGGGATTAAATTTCTCTTCCGCTACTGCCACCTAATTTTCCTTG